GCAATACAAAAATATAATGATTAAGGAAGGTATCTGAGAAAGTATCATGTGGCTATTAACAATTTTTTAGAAGAAAAAATAAGGGATATATATGACTCAAAGTAATTGTTAGAGTTAATGAAAAGTATAATTTATATTCATGGTATAAAATTCAATAGCCAATAGAATTATAGTAAAAAGTATGTCGCTTTAGACTTTAACACTTCAGTCTCTCAATCCTCTTTCTTAGAAACAACCAGCTCCCCAACTTTTTCTGGGTATCCTCCAGAGAGATCATGAATAAGCAAATGTAGGACAATCAAGTTCCTTTTCTTCATACATGTGGGATCTGACATACGTTGTTTTATATTTTGCTTTTTCTACTTAACCACACGTGGAATGTTTCTTATACATATAGGTGAGCATGGAAGCACCATCTTGTCATGAATTCTTGGAAACATGAAGAAAAAAATTTTACAGCCAACACATGTACACATTGCCTAATTCAGAACCAGTATTTCACTGTACTTGGCTTTATTATGTGTCGTTGATCAATCCATCCCTTTACTAATCCATCAGTATCTTTTATTTTCTTATTTTTTCTGTAGAGGACTCCTTCCTTTCATGCCAATAAAACAGTAACTCCCCATTTGCACACTTAACTACTTAAGTATGCATGAAAATGACTCGTTAAATATTTGTTTACAGTTAACTTTTTTTCTTTTGAAGTAAACTTTGCACACAATAAGATGCACACAATAAAATGAGTTTTGATGAAGACAGGTATTTGTGTTAGTAAAGTGCCAGTTAAGATATAGAACATTATTATCACCCAGAAAGTTCCCTCAGGCCCCATCCCAGTTAGCTCCATAGGCAATTGTTGGTGTGATTTCTTTGTTCTTTTCTTTTTTTAAGATTTATTTTATTTATGCATCCAAGAACTATTTATGCATCCAAGAACTGGGGTCCAGAGATGGAGGGGGGAGGGTGAGAGGATTCACCAGAGCGAGCAGAAAAGGCAGATTGACTGAAATACACTGCTGAGGGGAGCAGTGGGTGAGACGGAAGGTCTGCTGTGGGTTAGCTCCCTGGACAGGGATCGAACTCATGCCACAGTGGCTGTTGATAGCTTCATTGTTCTGAGACTTAATCCCTTGCACCACCAGGGAGGCCCTGTTTGTGTGATTTCTTTCCATCCTTTTATATTCTTTTTAAAAAATGGTTTCATTTTATGGAACAACCACTATTTTATTTTTCTTTTCCACTGATGACCATTTAGATGCTTTACAGGATTTTGCACTTAATATATTTGTGTGTGTGTGTTTTATCCACATGGATACTTCAGAAAGTCCTTTGGGTGAAGTTTTTGATCGATGGGGCTACAGTGTTCTTATAGAGAGTGGTAGACATTCCCACTCCCATTCCCATAGCAGGTGCGCCTAATTCCTCACTCCCTGACTCAGTGGATAGTTATTCTTCACTTGCTGTGTGGGGCACTCTTAGGTGTGTACATAGTAGACCCCATGGGAATCTCACTCATTAGTTAGAAAACTGACAAAAGAAATCAACAGATAATTCATTGAAGTGGATATGTGGGTGGCAAATAAGCACACAAAGAGATGTTCAACATCATTAGCCCGTAGGGAGATGCAAGTTAAAATCACAGTGAGATAACACTATATACTTATCAGAAAGGCTGAACTAAAAAATAGTGATAATACCAAATGCTTGTGAATACGTGGAGAAACTGGATCACTCAGGCATTGCTGGAAGGAAGATCAAATGGCATGATCACTCTGGAAAAGAATAAAGTAGTTTCCTGTTGGCACAATGTGTTAAGTCTCAGCACTATGAAACTATCAACAGCCACTGCAGCACGAGTTCGATCCCTGGCCAGGGAGCAAACCCACATGGCGCACAAACCCACAAACCTCTCCTGTCTTGCCCGCTGCTCCCCTCAGCAGTGTGTTTCAGTCAATCTGCCTGTTCTGCTCCCCTCTCTATCTCTGGTGAATCCACTCACCCCCTCCTTCCCACACCTATGGTCTAGACCCCAGCTCTTATGTGCATAAATAAATGAAATCTTTTTTAAAAAAGAATAAAGTAGTTTCTTAAAAACTAAATATGCATTTATATGACACAACAATTGTATTCCTGGGTATTTATCCCAGAGTATCAAAAACATATGCTAACAAAAACCTGTACGTCAATGTACATGGCACTTACTGCATTTACTTGTAATAACCCCAAACTGGAAACAACTTAAATGTCCTCAAACAGGATCAGATAAACCATGGCACATCCATAACGTGGAATGCTACTCAGGAATAAAAAGCATCTTGGGTAGATCTCAGGGAATTAGGCTGTGAAAACCAGCAAATCTAATTCCGTTTGTACAATGCTCTTGAAATGGCCTTTGGTGTGGCTGGGCATCATCCAGTCAGCTGAGGGCCTGAATAGAACAAAAGGGTAGAGAAAGGGTGAATTTGCTTTTTCTGCTTGAACTGAGACGTCCACATTCTCCACCCTCAAACAGGAACTCCTGATCCTCAGGACTTTGCACTTGGACTGGATCTACAGCACTGGCTCTCCAGGGACTCCAGCTTGCAGGGGGCAGAACATGGCACGCCTCAGCCTCCATAATCATGTGAGCCAATCCCTTGTGATACATTACCTTCTTTATGTGTATAAGGATACTTATACACTAGATTGTGTGTAATCTAGATTATGTGTGTAAGGATTAATCTAGAAATTTTCTTGTCCCTCTGGAGAAGTTTAAACTCTATTGGATTAGGAATATAGAATATTAGAGTCTTTGAAGGAAGACTGGGAAAATCTGAGAAATACACCTGTATTGTAAGAGATTATCCCACATTAGCCAGGGTGAGATTTAGGATTGAGTTCAATAACTGATACATTTAGAAAACAATGGAAAAGAAGCACAATTATATCCAAATGTGAATCTACAAATTCTTATTACATATATGTGTGTGTATTTGTTTATCAGAATAAATGATCATTTAGAAAATACACAAAAAATGAAGTGGATACATTTTGATGTCTTTTGTTCCAGGATTAATATATTAATGTCCTCTGTGATGTAATATATTTTTATACATCAAGATATCACGCTATCATTTCATTTCTCCCAATCAATATTATTTGCTAAGAATTTTCAATGTTCTTTAAAATGTTTCACAAATGCAATTTTTGATGACAATGAAATATTACATCTTAGATACGGCATAACGTATTCAAGCATCCTTCTACTGTTATTTTTTTTCTTTTTTTGCTGTCACAAATACTGCTGGGATAAGCATCTATCCATAAAACTGTATGTCCACTCACTAGGCTTTCAGCAAACATGGGAACTTGGATATATAGCTTGAATATATATAACTTCAGTGTATGAAACATCACATTTTGTTTTAATTTGCCCTCATGTTTCTTGAGACTGGACATTGCCTCCATATTTTGATTTTATATTTGCTGTACTTGTCATGAAATCTTCTTTGAGGAAGGAGTGGTTCTTTGGAGATGTACTTTTGGCTTTCTTCACAGGTAGTCAAGATAGAAGAGATCGTGGACAGGTGCGGGGTTTGAAATCCTGGGGTTTGCCAGAATAATGAAAAGGGGAGAGAGGCGGAAGACAGAAAGTGATGGGGTATAAAAAGGGGCAAATGGGCTGCGTTGAAGAAGCCAGAAGGAAGGGGCAAAAGGAAGATGGCACTTAGTCCTAAAGCTCCTTGTGCTGTCATAGGTGCTATTCCTGCTTCCGAACAAGGGTCCAAGTGTGGTTTCAGCTTCTGAATAGAGTATTCTCAAAGAAGTCCAAGAGCGATATTGTGGTTTATAAGAAAAATATGTATTTGATCATGCAGTGACTAAAATGTATTTTTTGTATATATTTGGCCTTCACTCAGTGCCTTGCTCACAGCTCCCCAACGCCTTGGAATTTCCTAAGCGTTAAGAGTGATCCAGGTGTCTTTCATATGTAACTACCTGGTATTTGGAGGGTCTCTGGTTGGGGGTGGGCTGCCTGGAGACTCAGCCATGTGGTTAGAGTGGAAGGGGAGAGGGCTAGAGACTGAGTTGCTGATGCCAATGAGTTCATCAGTCATGCTTAAGTAATGAAACCTCTGTAAAAATCCAAGAAGAGGTTGGGGTTCAGAGAATTTCTGGGTTGGCAAACGTGGAGATTTGGGGAGAATGGTCACCCCCTAAAGAGGGCATGGAAGTTCCATGTGCTTTCCCCCTCCCTTGCCCCATGCATTTCTTCCACCTGGCTGTTCTGAGTTCTAGCTTTTTGTAATAAATCAGTCACCTAGTGAGTAAATGAGTTTCCTGAGTTTTGTGAGCTGCTCTAGTGAATTAATAAACCTGAGGAGGGGGGTCACGGGAACCTCTGGTTTGGGCTTGCCACTGACACCTGAAGCCTAAAATGAGGCGTCCGAGACACCCAGTCTGGAGCCGGCTGGTCAGAAGCACAGGTAGCAGCCTGGGTTGGTGAGTGGCTTCCCAAGTGGAGGTGGTTCTGGGAGACGGAGTCCTTAACCTGTGGACTCTGATGTAGATTGTGTCAGAACTGATTGTGTCTTAGACACCCTCATGGTGCCCAAGAGCTGCTTGTGGGTGTGGGAAAACCTCCACACACACTCACCTGAAATTGGGTCCAGGAACCCTTTCAACACAGTATTCTGGTGCACTCTTTTGATAGAGCAGGGGCTTGGATTAATAAGTGGGGGATTGGGAAAGCCACAGGTCTGTGTGGGAGGGGACGGGGCTTATACAGGCCTGGGAGCAAGGCCTCTGGGTTTCGTCCAGCTTTGCACTGTGCGAGAGGGGAGGAGCTGCTGTCCCAGACCTGGCCAGTGGACTGCTCTCCCTGGACGCGTGCCCTGGCACAGAGAGTCAGTGCCGCTGAACCATCTGGGGGCAAACTCCGTCAGGCTCTGCTGCCCTCCAGCCTTCACTCCAGCGACCTTTAGTCCCTGCCTGTACCAGCAACAGGGCTGGTCAGAAGACGGTAAGGGCCAAACTTGTCAGTGGCAAATTCCATCCAGCCCAGTTTTCTGTCCCTGACAGAGAATTTCTGTAGAAGAGAAAAAGGAACTGCTCTCTGCTCCTTCCATGAGAGCTGCTGAGGTGGATAGGGGCTGGAGGACAGGGAGAGTGGGTCTTCTCAAGTACTCAGAGTGGACAGGATGTGACTCAGGAACAAGAACACAAACATCAGGGAAGACCCAGACCCGAGGGTTCATGCCCGAGGGCATAAACATTTATTGTGGGGAAGCATGTGTGAGGCATGTGTGAGGCCCAGAAGGTAGAGCAGCCTGAGTCACTGTCCATGATGTGCCCACAGCCTCCTCCCGGCATCCCCAGGAATAAAGGGGAACCTGTCAGATAGGGAAACTGGGGTTCCAGTGTCCCACCATGGAGGAGGGGGAAGCTGATGGTCTGCTTGCTTATTCCAGTAGTTTCTTCCTCTGGGTATCAAAGTCTGGCACTCGGGGCTGGAGGCACAGGGCCCAGCCACTTCTCTCCTGTGTGGAGAAAATCACTCATCAGAGGCTGGCCACAAGCCTCAGAGGCTTTCCAGGGGGCACTCTGCTTGTTTTCACGGTTAGAAGGCTACTTCTGTCATGTGGGGTGAAGGTGGCCCCATCCCCTTCAACCTCCAGCACCACTGTGCCCGTACTAGGCTTAGTTGTTAGAATGCCTAGAACATTCTTGGATCTGAATCTGTCCATATGGTCAACTGACACTATGGGGTTGGGCTGGGGTGAAGGGTCTTCAAGATGAACCTGCAGCTTACCCAGCATGTGTGCCAGTAGCTCCATCCTGTCACAGCCAAACAGCATGTGGGTTTGGCCATCCAGCTCGACCACAGTGATGGGCAGCCCAAAGGCCTGGAGGAAGCAGTCGGGTGTGGTGGGGTGGGGGTGGGAGGGGATGGAGAGGGGTGTGATCAGTCAGGTTGGGGTTGGAGGCTGCAGTGCAGCAATTCTGGTCTGAGGTCACAGAAGCAACGCAGCCAGAGTGTTCTGAGATGCTGTCTTTTCTCTCACCATCTTTCCCTCCCTCCCTTCCTTTCCGGGGGGTGCAGGGAAGGAGGGAGAGGATATGGGTTGTCCTGGAGAGCCAGGACTCATGTTGGGGACAGCTTTTGGACAGGCGCCTGGGGACCTGGCAGAGATTCATGCTGTCTTCACCACTGGAGCTGGGCTCACCCCGTATTTGCAGGCTGCGTCGGTGGTCTCCTTGAGCTGGTTTTTCACCTGTGGAGTTGAGATCTTTTCCAGAAGTCCTCGGGCTTGTTCCGTAGACATGCCAGCCTTCTGTGCTGCCTGAGGGCGTGTGGGATGTGGAAAGGACAACTGTATGCATTATGTGTTCATGTGTGCGCTTGGGGGCAGCGGGCGGGGCTCAGGAGCTACTCTGGTCTTTATTTTATTCCTCCAAATTTTTACTGGCAACGGCCTTTACCCACCCACCAGCAGAGGTCTCTCCTTGCCCTGAGGGTCAATGTTTTCTTTCAAAATCTTGACATTGGTGGAAAGAGCAAGTGGTACAGTCATAATTACTGAAGTTAAAGCCAGAGGGCATCTTAGAGGCGGCTGCCCCACCTTTTCATTACCAGCCAGGTGTTAGAGGGCTACTTAGGAGCAGAGTCGGTGCTAGAATTTGTGTTCCCTGACAAGTCACTGGCTGCTGCCTTCCTGCTTCTTAGAATTCCTGAATAGCTCATACATTTTATTTATTTATTTATTTATACAAGAGCTTGGTACAGGTCAGAGGTGTGGGGGGTGAGAGGATTCACCAGAGAAAGGGCGGGGAACAGAACAGGCAGACTGACTGAAATACACTGCTGAGGGGAGCAGCGGGTGAGACAGGAGGTCTGCTGCGCCATGTGGGCATCTCCCTGGCCAGGAATCGAACTCGTGCTGCAGTGGCTGCGGAGAGCTTTACAGGTTGTGTCTTAACCCTTGTGTCACCAAGGAGGCCCAAATAGCTCATACTTTTTTAAATCCAGGGCTGAATCCCATAGAATTTCCTGGGGACTCTGAGCAGGTTAAAGGGCTGCAGCCACCTGCCTGGTTTCTAGAGAATGATTAAAGCTTCAGCGTGGACTTTCTGGAAGAGTGTGGGATCCCAGGTTCTCAATTTCGGCTGCTCATTTGAATCTTCTGAAATCTTTAAAACACCCCTAATGCACAGGCCAGCCCTTAAACATTTATGGGGAAACTTTAGGAGGTGGCGCCCAGGTGCACCAGGGGATTCCAATACAGGTCCCCGGTTGACAACCACTGCTGCCTGAACTCGGCCTGGAGCTGGAGACACCACGCCATGCAGCACATTCTGCTGAGACTGGATCTTTGCCTTGACTAAATGAGGTGACATGTTTGACATGTGGGTGGTTAAGTAAGCAAAGATAGCCCTGCTGAATGGAACACTCTATAGAAACTAAGAATTGGGCCTTCCCGGTGGCGCAGCGGTTGAGCGCTGGGCTGCGAAGCTGCCCGCAGCCTCTGCAGTGCCGGTTCAATCCCCAGCCGCCGGTGAGGGTCCCACGTGGGGCGCAGACCTCTCCTGCCACCTGCTGCTCCCCTCAGCAGCACATTTTGTCCTTCTGCCTGCTCTGCTCCCCGCTCTGGCTCTGGTGAGTTCTCTCACCCTCCCTTGCTTCTGAGTGTACCCAGTGCTTGTATAAATAAATAAATAAATAAATAAATAAATAAATAAATAAATCTTAAAAAATAAAAAAGCTAAGAATTCTTTCTGAAAGTTTAAAAATTGCATGGAAAATGCTTATTAAATATTAAGTAACAAGGTAAGCGGATGTGTATACTTTGCAGGAAAACACTGGAGGTCACACCGGCCATTCTTTGTATAGCTGACATCTGTGGCTTGCCATTTTATATCTTGAACATATCTCCACAATCTTTTGTAAACCGCACAGCAAATATTGGTTTGAATTTCCTGATTTAATCCTGAGAAAAATGTGTTTTTGTACTGATAACTGTGCTGGGCACACATTTCACTGTTTTGAACTATTTTCATTTGTTCTCATGCAGGCTTCTCGAGAATTCTGGCTTGAGTCAATGATCTCTTTTTGTCTTTTTATCTCCTGCTTCCTGCATACATGCATGGGGGAGGTTTGTGTTGGGATCTTCCAGGCCAAGAATTACCTTACCTATCTCGCCCCCGCCCCCCAATCTGGGGGTGCTAACACTGTTAACACTGAGTTTTTCATCAAGTAACTTCTGCCACGGAGAATTCTGCACTTCTTTCAACTGTGAACTTTTTTGAATTCTCTAAGTTCTACACTTATAGTAATTCCCCTCCCAAATCACTGTGACCTCTTCTCCCTAATAAGAAAACTATGTCCTCTTGGCCCCCAAATACAACTGTTCCCAGACGCCTTCTGAGTGGAGTGGGGAAGAGCAGGACACTCACGGCCAGGATGCTCTGGGGCTCCGTGATGTCTTCATCCTGGGGAGAAGAGAGCTGTCAGCAGGGAAGGGGGCGGGTGACGGGGGGGGGGGGGGCAGGACGACAGAGGGTCTGTGGACTGTAGGGGTGGCAGGGCCAGGACTCTGGAGACAGGACTAGGGGACGGTCACCAAGTCATCCAGCATCCCTCCAGCGAGCCCTGCACTCACCCGTGACCAGACTCGCATCCAGAGTTCTCGGGACACTTTCTCCAGCATCTCTGGCTGCTCCAGGTTCACAGCAGTGAGGAAGCGCATGGCTGACAAGCTTCCTAGGAGTGCAGCACGCAGGAGGGCTCCTTGCATGAGTCCCCATGGAGGACAGCTCTGCTCTGCCTCTGGGGTCCCCCAGCTCCTCCCAAGCTCCCAACCCTTTCTCGTTGCCCATTTACCCTGCTCTTCCTCCCCCCGTGTCCCGCTGCCTCTGCTTGGTTTAAGCCAAGTTCACCCACAGCTTGTTCTACTTTCTGTCACCACCGGAGCTCCTTCTCAGACCCTACAATCTCCACCTGATGCCCTATCTGTATCTCACTCTCTTCACCTTTGTGAAGAATCACAGCGAAGAAATCCTTCGGCACCTGGAGGGGAACTTGCATTTGCTTGGCCAGTCGAGTGATATCATTTAGCAAGTATTTGCCTTTGCGTGGAAGCATGGCTGGGGGCTGGTTTCCTGCAAAGGGAAAGTCGGAGTCCCTGCTGAGTGACCATTAGGGTCCCCGCTGGAGGACCCCTGACCTGAGTATCGGGCAGACAGCAGATTACTTGCTGCGGGTGCCCGTGTAGAGTCCCCATCCAGGGCAGCTCCCAGAGGCCTTAGAGATCCGCTTTCCCTCAACTCCCTGCCTCTGACTTGCGCCTCATACCACTGTCCCTCATGATCCCTGCAATGAGGCTGGGGCGCAGCTGCAGGTTGACATTCCAGATGTTCTTATAGCGGCACAGGATCTACAGGAGCAGAGGAGCACAGAACCAGCATGTGAGATGGAAAAGGCGAGGAGGCAGGCAGAGGGCGGGCTGTTTCTGGCAGCGGGTCAGCCCGAGGCGCCACGCAGGGGGTCATGCTGGCTACACACAAAGCCGTTCGGTTTGGAATGGCCAAACTCTCCGCGGCTAGAGCTCCGCCCCAGGACCTTGCCTCTGCAGACAGCGTCCCTCCAGTCCTGTGCTCCACCCCCCAAAACTGACAGGACAGGGCGCAGGGGTGCCCAGCACAGCGCTGCTGTAGGACACAAGGGCCGGGCCTGGAGCCAGCGACCGCGTCCCGTTTGGAAACGCAAAGTGACCTTCAGCCCCGGCTCTCCAGCGGCTCGTCCCAAGCCCGCGGGGCAGCGCCAGGAATGGCACCGGCCCCTCGCCCTGCCCGGCCTTTCCGTCTGCCCTCGCCTCGCGCGCCCGGCCCCGGCGGCCCCCCGCCGTCACCTCGAAGCCCAGCCAGGAGTAGGGGGACAGCACGTCGTAGAAGAGCTCCAGGCGCCGCGGCAGGGACCCCATGTTGCCGCGCGGCGGGGCTCCGGAAGAGCGGCGGCGCGCGCTTCCTTTTTCTAGGTCGCCTGGACCCCGCCCCGGTTCCCGGCGGCCCCGGAGGCCCGCCCCCGCCGCGTCGCCTCCCGCCTCCCGCGAGCGGGCCCGGGCCGGCAGCCGGGGCGCCGAGGGCCGCGCGCACCCCCAGCCCCCCGCGGGCCTGCTCTCGGCCGGCGAGCGCGCGGCCCGGGCTCTCCCTGCAGCTCCAGCCGGCCGTGCGCGGTCGCGCGCCCTCCCCGAGTCCCAGCTTCCCGGGCGCGTAAAAATGGGGGCGCGTGTGATAACCCCGGCCTCGAATGCACTTGGGCGGGGCGGTTCGTTCTGCTGCTCGGCAGCCGCTGGGACTTCCCGGGAGAGGGACGGAGTGGGAAGTTCCCAAAGTCCACATTCTCTGTGTTTGCAGAGCAGGGCGCATGCCGGGGGCTATTTGACAAAACACTTTTGGTCAGGCGCGACGGGGACTCACTGCTGCGTAATGGTAGGGTAGGCCTAATGAGAAAAGGGCTGCCCCGCTTGTGTTTGGCGTTGTGGCCTGTTATGTTAGGATGATAATATACCACAAAGAAAAATAACTTTTAAAAAGCCCCTTTTAGTCTTATTAAAACTATTTTTTTGCTATTACTAACTTACGGTTTGAAAAACACAAGACACTAAAGGTTCCCATTTTTTTTCATCTTTACTCATTGTAAAAACAACCCCAGGGCGTCAGAATACAAAGCCACTATGTCAACCTTCAGGTAGAATAGAACATACAAAATGGAATCAGAAACCATGTTATTCTCACCTGCAAACGGAAGTAATTGCATGACCTCGGAACAGATACGCTTTATTTCCCCGAGTGGTGTTAATTTTAAAGTATCCAAGTGCCAATTAGTCCAGTAATAGAAGATTTTATTTTAAACGTAGATCATCACTTAATTTTATCCTTTCTATTTGGAAACAACTTTAATTTACAGGAGAATTGTCGAGATAGTGTGTGTTTCTGGGAGCTCCCGATGTGAACAGTGTGCATGGCTGTGGGACAATGATCAAAACTAGGAACTCAACGTGGAACATTACTATTAATTAAACTGCAGACTTCATTTGGGTTTCACCAGTTTTCCATTCATACCCATTTTCTCTTCTGCGATCCAGTTCAGGATACCGCAGAGCTTTTAGCTGTGAATGTCTCTTAATAGTGAAAGTTTCTCGTCTTCTGTGTATTACATGATTTTGACATTTTTGAAAAGTGTCAACGACGTATTTTGTAGGATGTGCTTAAATTTAGGTGTCTCTGATGTTTTCTCATGACTAAGCTAGAGCAATAGATTTTGGGAAGAATACCAGAGGCGAAGAGCCCTTCCCCATTGTGTGCGGGGCTGCCACCTATCAACATGACTTAACCACCTGTGATGTGGAGAACCTGTTAGGGGGAAAGGATGTCCTGAGATAATCTCATACAGGCTTTGTGGACTCCACCCCCACTCCAGACTAAAGCCATCAGGACATTGGGAAAGACAAATCCCATCACCACCAAGGGGAGGGTGGCTGGGACCTGAGGGTGGAGTTGGGCAGCCAGGTTGGATATAAAAACCAAACACGTGGGCCTTGCTCGCTCTCTTGCTCGCGATCGCTCGCCTCCTGGCTTCACCGCTCCTGGCTGGCGGCCAACTCTGAGAGCGCCATTTTGGGATTCCTGATCGGCGGATCGGGTAGGACGCATTTAAAACTTTGTCTCCCACTTTTCTCCCAGAGCTGTACATTTCCTCATTTCCCTTTCCGTTGTAAATAAACCTTTTATTAACCTTTCACGTGTGCCTGCAGTAAAGCATTGATAAGTCCTTTTAAGCGCGCGGGTGAAGACCCACAGTCAGGCACCCCGTTTTGTATCGGGGTTGCTCTACAACAGTTTGGCGCCCCACGTTGGGCGCCAAATCTGTTATAGGACAGGGAGAGGGGCAGCCCAAGCCCCGCAAACCTGCCTATTCTAAATGGGTTCTGCCATCCGCCGCATCAACACAAAACATATGACACTTTAATGGGAAGGAACTTTAATAAAAACTAGAAAACAATACAGGTAAGGCAAAGAGTCTAGTTTCTAAATGAAGCACCCAAAGTTACCCATCCCCTCGTGGGTAAAACTCCATCCATATGGGGTCGGCCCAGAGCAAGGCCCCAAAGCCTGCCACAAGTCTAAAACATCTTCCAGTGGGGACCCACAGAAAAGGGTCACAAACAACCGGACAAGCCCGGAAGGAAAAGAGCAAAATCAACATCAAGATAAAAGCTGCCATTGTCACCTCCCCACGGGTCTCACCCACATCTGTGTCACCTAGTCCACGACCAAAAGACAAGCGCAGTTTCTTCACGTGTCTCTAGGCTCCATGCGCCTCCTCCAGGTCTCCTGGCTCCATCCTGCTCCTTCCTTCCTCAGTCTCTTCTGTTTCTCCTCTTCCTGCTCAGCTCCACCCTTCCTTGGGTGGGGCAGGGAACCTGGAACCTCTTTCCTGGGGACCACCCTGTTACAATCCCCCCTTTTAATTTTTATTCCACCATATCTATGGTGGCACAGATCTCAGGGTGTAGTCTTAGGAGACAGTCTTTTTTCAGGGTTCCAATGTGTGTAAGAGAAGCAACAATTAGCAGCATTGTCCATGAATGTCCAGTATGACAGTTTCATTACTTAAAAATAGTCCATTATCCAAGCCAAAAGAAAAAAAGTTGGAGCATTGGCTAAAACAAGATAGCAAATATATCAAAATCACAGGGAAAAAATGTTAAAATGGTTTAACTTATGCAAAAACGAATTCTCTCAACCTTGATCCCAAACTTTAACAGCATAGCAAAAATTTGCAAATTAAATTTACTTTTAAACCATTTTTCCTATTTTTGCATAAAATCACAGGGCAGAAAATAACTAACAGCAATTTTTAGCTGGCTTTGTTGAAATACTCCACACAGGATCAGAGCGAACCGGTGGCATCCAGTCGATGTAGGCTTCAGGTATAAAGTTGGTCTCATCAGACTCCACCTGGGCTTTCCTCTTCTCGAGGGTACCAGGGCATTTTCGTTGGCCGGGTTGTCCAGTCCTGCCAATGGAAGCAAGCTTCCTCACCTTCTTTGGAGGTCTCTGGAACCCTACAAACAAGGTAAACAGGTTCTCCTTTTCTTGGTTCAGCTCTTTTTCAACTTACCGGAAGAATTCCATACAAAGCCACACAATCAAACTCACGTCCAATTTTTTTGTTAAAACAGGCAAAATCCCTATGTAAGTTATGCAAAAACAGACTCTAAGATAAGTAGCAAAATTACTACCACTATTTGTATGCTGTGTTGGTATCAAGGGGAGAGAAAATGTGACAAGTTAGCTTTGCTGGAAAATAATTGCAACCTTTCTGCAGATCCTGGTTACTCAAAACAAAACAAAACAAAACTTTGTGGATTCAGGACAAAATGCATAAAAAAAATTACCAGTATTATGTCAAAGAAAACTTGTAAATGTCAGGTGTATTTCCAGGTCTATTTAGTCCTTTGTAGGAAAGTTTTTTTACTCTCAACAGTTCCATCAATAGGAATCTGTTGAGATCTTTTTTCCCTATATTTCCAGAAACAATTTCTGTAGATGTGAAACAATTGAATTATACAATATTACAAGGTGACAATCACCATTGACAATTTACATACATACCAGATACCGAGAGGTTTTTTTTTTTGTTTTTTTTTTTTACACATTTAGAAAACTACTGTTAACATTTTGTACATACCAAAGTTTTACCATTTTCCCAAGTGACAATGCTTCCCTTCCAGTTTTACTTCATTAGGTAAAAGCCAAATAGAACAAATTCGTGTAATGCCTTCCCAGGAGGAAAGGGAGAAACTTCGTGGAGTGTCTCAGGAGCTCTACTGAGGTTCCACAAAATTTCCTTGCATCAGTCAAATGACAGGCTACAAATTTGTACTTGAATTTAGACTTCTGGAAGCTTTGCCATAAATATCAGAAAATTAACAGAAACAACAATATTCAATGTCTATGAAGGCACCGGCTTATTAAGTAGCACAATGTTGACAATCAAACCATAACCTTTTGTTTTTCTCATAACTGGAGACTCTTTTTTTTTTTTTAATGTCTATGGGCACCATGTATACCAATATGTCAATCACTGGAGGTCAAGACAGTTAGACACAAGGACATACAGACATACAACATATAGACAAAGACAGTTTTTTTTTTTAGTTATTTTCATCTGAGACTGTATCCCAGAATCCATATGTTTGATCTTCATCACCATGGAAATGGTGGCAAAAAGTGAAAGGGGGGAATTGTTAGGGGGAAAGGATGTCCTGAGATAATCTCATACAGGCTTTGTGGACTCCACCCCCACTCCAGACTAAAGCCATCAGGACATTGGGAAAGACAAATCCCATCACCACCAAGGGGAGGGTGGCTGGGACCTGAGGGTGGAGTTGGGCAGCCAGGTTGGATATAAAAACCAAACACGTGGGCCTTGCTCGCTCTCTTGCTCGCGATCGCTCGCCTCCTGGCTTCACCGCTCCTGGCTGGCGGCCAACTCTGAGAGCGCCATTTTGGGATTCCTGATCGGCGGATCGGGTAGGACGCATTTAAAACTTTGTCTCCCACTTTTCTCCCAGAGCTGTACATTTCCTCATTTCCCTTTCCGTTGTAAATAAACCTTTTATTAACCTTTCACGTGTGCCTGCAGTAAAGCATTGATAAGTCCTTTTAAGCGCGCGGGTGAAGACCCACAGTCAGGCACCCCGTTTTGTATCGGGGTTGCTCTACAACAAACCTATTTCCCCCCCTCCACAATCTGTTCTTTGACCAGTTGGGGGTGGAGTGGGATAGATTAAATCTCCCTCTTGGAGGGAAGAACATCAAAGAATTTGTGGACATGAGTTAAAAATCACCAGGGTGATTAACGCATATTTAAGGGGACATATTTGAGGTGATGCCTCCTCACACTGTCATCTATCAGTGGCTCTTACTGACAGCAATTTCGATTGTATGG